TGTATGTAATTTAGAATTGGTTTTATACTGATTTGTTCTCTTATGACCTCATTCCTGAATTTATATCTTCTAATCACTCCTGCAGTCCTTCTAAGACATCTCACTGTTCTGTTGTGGCTCCCAAATATTGTTTCGTCTATACATAAACGGACAGTGATACAATTACAAACAAGAGTACATAAAGATATTTTGCTTTGCGATGAAGTCAAGTCACAAAATCTCCATCTGTGCTTGCACAGTTGTGGAACATTACATGTCATTGTAGAAGTGATATGTTCTCTTCTAACAAGTAAGTAAATGTTACCCCTCCAGGACATCACACAGAGCGATAAACACTCGGTGTTACAAAGTGAGGATCACCCGTGGAGAGATCCCCAGAAACTGCATCAACCGTCAGGCTGTATTGCGGGCCTCTGGCAAAAGCTGGGGTGGGACCCAAAAAGTTGCGTCCCACATGGGGACGACGTTTGTTATCTCTCTTCAACTATAGTCCTTACATTATAGCTACCAATCCCAACTCAACCCACATTGTTCATCATCTTTACATTTGACAGTATCCCAGGATTCTACATGTTTGACATTTTATCACATTAAAAAAAAAAAAAAAAAAATTTGTCATTGTAAACTTCTTTCTATATTTCTTTATAATGTATTCTTCCTTTGATTTTGTGTTGTGATTTTGTTTGTTAATTTTCTTGTATCCATTATCTTACAATACTGTTCAAGATATTTTCCATTCATTTCATTTTATGATATTATATATTTCACCTTTTCATATTCTTTGTCATTTGCCTCTTTCATCATTTTTATTGGTATTATTGAATTTTACAACAGCATTTTATGTTTGGTTTTTTTCTTTGCTGATGATGTAATGTTTATATACATTTTCTTACATCACTCATATCTCTATATCCATTAACCTTACTTTTCCTGTAATATTATTTTCATTAACTGAATCCATATTTTGGTTATATATTGCCACTCATTACTTTAAATATCCACATTTCTGTGTTTATACTATATGTGTATTCAGCATTTAAACAAAAAGTTCTATTATAAATTCCTTTCTTTTTTGTAAGACATTTCAGATGTTTCCACCAAGTGAGCCATATGACCACTTTTGGTTTGTAGTTTTATTAATACCTGGTAATATATCAAATATCTGCTGTCAGTATTGATCTGTATTTTTTTTTAAATATAAAACTGAGCTTATCTTAATGAGGTTGCAAGTGTACAGAGGCCACCCCAGTGTCCAGTTTGTACTGAGCTATTTTTAATTGCATTAATGAGAAAATCAGCTGTTAGACCAGAGTAGCGGTTGACTGAGCAAATAAAATCACCCAGCTCTCATTCAGAAGACTCAGGTTCAAATCCTCTGTAGGGTTCTGGATTTCTGTTAGATGCACAAATCCATACCTGCACCATGGATGTTGACTGTCCTGACATGCACATCTAGATCTTCAAGCTAAGGACCCTCTTTTCTTTTCCGCCCCGTCCTAAACCACTTTAAAACGTGGTAAATAGCTGCAGTAAAGAGATTTTTAAAAAATTATTATTATATATTTTTTTAAAGACCAGCAGCAATATTTCCACCTTTGGGCCAACACATCAAATTTCTTTGGGCCCTTTTTTGACTGTATCAGCTGACCCAGGGCCAGCATTTTAACTCATTAGGACCAGGTAACCTGCTTTGTCTTTGTTGACATCTCAATACAAGATGCATTTTTTGTCCTATTCTGTTTAACACTAGCACATCGTTCCAACGTTTATTTTAATTTAACCCTTTCTCCTCCTCCTTCGCATTCACCAGCTGTAAACTTCAGCAGAAAGTTCTGGTTGTTCATCTACTTCTGGACTAGTCTTGTTCCAGAATCTGAGTGTTGCATGTGCATCTGTTTTACAGATCTGACTCATTTGTATCCAGACTGCTGGCTCCTTGCCTCTCATGTAGATGCACTCTCACTTCAAAGGAAGCTCCCAGTAATAGTTAATTACGACATGCTTTTGGGTAGGCACTGCCTCAGAACCCATATAGCGATAACCAGAATTTAGAGATGTCGAGTCAAAAGGCGCAGACATTGCAGCCTAGCTGTATACCACACATAATCTCTACTCTTCTCTGTTATGTAAACAGAAGGATCTCATGATCAATTTGAAGTTGCCATGGTAATAACTGACTGATTTTCAAACTTCCAGCGGATAAATGTACAATGACTTGACAATGTGATTTACGCACATGTTTATGTGGTTCATTTCAGCAAGCAAAGGATTTATTTTGTCCTTCATAATATGTTGATTTAGTAATGCACCTGATGAGATACAGCAAAATATGCCTGACAATAAATTGTGCAATGTGTTGTTTGCGTCCCCATTATTTAAATACACGTCTAGATTATCAATAATCAGTTTACCATCAAAAAGATCAAAAGAACGCCAACTACTGGTTACTTCTGAAGTGATGTTGAGATTCTTATAGCCAGAGAAGGACTGAAAGGAAGAGATAATTACTATGATGCAGACTGGATTGGGCGTGTCTCTGTTTATTTGACAGTTGTTTTTGCATGTTTGGATACCTGTTGGTAAATAATGTACATTGTTTATGAGTAATAAACTTTTAATATATTACATGATCTTATGTCTTTTTATTTTCATATTAGTCTCTCTCTTTCTCTCTCTCTCTTTCTGGCTCACTGTCGCACCCCACCCCCCTTTTTCTCTGCTCTCCCCACAAATTGAGTTCAGCTGTAACAAATAAAGTAAAGAAGGTATGACCAGGTAGCTTTATTTTAATATTTCTTCCAAAGCAAGGAGCAATTTACAGACAATAAAATTACCGCAAACATGACTGACTGACTGACTTTCTACCCCACCAGGACATCACACAAGCGATAAACACCCGATGACACAATGTGCCACCATGTGGATGAGGATCACCGTGGAGAGGTCCCAGAAACCGCGTTCAGCCATTAAGCAATATTTATGACCTAGCTATATTGCGGCCCCTGGCAAGAGCCAGAGTAGAGCTTCAAATAACAAAAAATTTCATCCTAAAAAGTTCGGAAAGTTAATCTATTAATTGAACGCGGATGAAGAAGTTCAACTAACAGTTTTAAAAAAGTTAATTGCGTATCTTTTACAGGACGTTGCAGAACCAACCCCAGCATTTGTTGGCTGTTGTGGTTTTTCTAGGCAAGTTTTAAGTCCAGTGGTTGGCAGCAGTTGCCACCAAACGGTCCGCTCTCGGTACCACTGTCGAAACCAACGCAAGCCAAACCCAGGGTTGCCAGATAATAAAACTTCATTTTATGCCAAACCATTACCCAAAATATGCCAGAAAATGCCAAATAAAGTGTAACATTGTACTTACTTCACATCAAAAGATTGAATTCTTCACTGTCATCCTCACTGGAACCAGCGTAAACCTTCTTGATTGTAAATTCTTTAAGCATTTTCTCAGATGGGATTAAGTCTTTGCAACTCATCTATCTATAATAACGACATATTTCTTGTTCCGAAAATCATCAATAAGGTCATCCTTAAGTGCAGGCGATGCCCGTCTCTCTAGCGTAGTTGGCTAAACCGGATTGCGCGGTGAGCGGGTGACGAACTCCATGTGGTCCGGGTTCACTCCCGGGGGTGGGTAGGAAAGCCACATCTATCCCAGATTTACGGTATTTACAATGGAATCAAGGCCGAAAGGTTGCGATATCCATAATACCGAGCCTAAGGGTTAACAACTCATGAAAAGACACTCAGTTTATAGACTTGACGCAACAGCTGATTTACTTAGGCTCTTCAGTAGAACAATCTGTACTGCAGTGGATTCCAGGTCACTGTGGCTTGGAAGGCAATGAAATAGCGGACAAATTGGCCATAAGCGGCAGTGACATGGTACAACCAAATAGCGACTTAACCCACCAAGAGATGAAAACACTAATACAGTCTAGTATCCAAGAAAGGTGGCTGGATACCCACACCAGATTTTCTCCCTAAGACTCACTTCATCGCCTCTCTAGAGAGGGACGGTGTATTATATTCAGACTAAGGACAGGGCACAACAGATTTCGTCAACATATGTTCAAATTTTTCGGTGTAGGAAATACGGAGATGAGTCCCTGCAGCGTGGCACCCGAAAATGCTGAGCATGTGCTCCAACACTGTCAACTGTATGCTGACAACAGAGACGCAATCTGGCCTGTTCCAACCACACTGAAGACAAAACTGTATGGTACACGAGAGGATATGGATTGCACGATAGCTTTCATAAAGGCTACCGGCCTCCTGATATAAGTTTTCTGACAAAAGGATCGAAGAAGAAGATAAGATGCTTTCCATTTTTTTTTTTTTTTTTTTTTGGTGTTTTATGTCGTGGCCATTGGTAAAAGTAATAAAATCTATCACAGATAGAAATAGGTCTATATCCTCTCTATTTTCTGTCTTCGTTTCTGGACCCTCAAGTAGTTTATGAACAGTCGGAATCACTTGGTATCAGTGGTGGGTTTTGGTTTTATATCCCGTATTTGTTCTAGTAGATTAACATAAATTACAGAGGGCTTTGGTTTATCAAAGTCACGATCTGTTTAGGAAGACAACAGATACAATAAGAAATGGTGCGAATCTCCATTAGTCCGTACCAGGACATCACAACAAGTCAAACTGAAATAAAGATGTTAACTGTAGGTTTACATTGCCAGAAAAAACCCAAATATGCCAAAATATACCAGTTCCTTATCTTAAGCCAGCTCAATTTCAAATATGCCAAATTTGTGGAATCTAGCACAAAAAACGCTAATATAGCAACTCTGGCCAAACCGTCCGCAACTGGGATCGAACCCGGCACCTTGGCACTACGAAGCGTATTCGCAACGCCTAACCCACAGACGCCGACTAACAGTACAATCAATACCATAAAAATAACATGCATACAAAATGTTGATAACATTAGATGTGTAATCCACGTTTTTAAATTACACAAATAAGATAAGTCTGTCGGTAATTTCCTAGATGACGATGAACTGCATGGGCGTGAGCAGCAGAACAAACATCAGTGTCAAGGCCGGACCTGGGAAGTTTGAGGAATCCTTGACCTAAATAAAAGTTTGGAGAGAAGATGTCAGGTAGTGCAGATACGAGTATTAGCTAGTGGCGTGTTTGGTGGGAGTGTGGTTTGTGTTAGTTTAACTCTATACATGCCCGGCTCTCTAGCGTAGTTGGCTAAACCGGATTGCGCGGAGACCGGGGGACGAACTCCTTGTCGTCCGGGTTCAATCCCGGGGGTAGGCAGAAAAGCCACATTTCTCCCAGATTTACGGCATTTACAATGGAATCAAGGCCGAAAAGTTGCGATATCCATAATACCGAGCCTAAGGGTTAACAACTCATGGCTTCTGGATACTAAAACAAACAAACTCTATACATGTTTGTGCGAGAAAAACCATAAAATATAAAGAATTCCAACAATTTAATAAGTAAAACAATCTCACCGTGAAGATGAAAAATAATGTAAGACGTTGCTAAAAGCGATTCAGAAGCAATATACGCGTGTTGAAAACTTAAAATGAAAATTGTTTTAATATATAACAATTTGTGTAAAACTTACCATATCAAACTTTGAAAAAAAAAACAAATATCACCCCCTCCCCTCCTTCCCACTCCGTGCGGGTTCCAGTGCCTATGGGGGAGGGGGTGGGTGCTGGAAATTTGTGTTAATGTTTTGTACACAAAAAAACGCAGATATCACAGCCTTGCTGAAAACCACGAGGTTTGTCAACAGTCCCTCTAGGGCTGTGAACGCAGAAGAAGAAATTAATACCTAACAATAATCCAAAATGTAACTATCGTTAATGTCGACCATGATAGTCTTCGTATGCAAAACAAAGGTAATAACAATAATGTTATTAATGCGGATTTTGTGATTACAAAAATAATGATTATATTACTTGAGTGTTACAGTTATTGATCAAGCATTGTCAAAGGAGATATACACTTGTCTAGTGTTGGTCTTTTACATTTATTCATCAACAAACACGATCAATTATCATCATCATCATCATCAGTGTTTCTTCTTCTGCTGTTGCTCGTTCTTTTCCTCCTCCTACTTTTTCTTTTTTCGTCCTCTACTTCTTCTTCTATTTCTTTGTCTTTCTTCTTCTTTTTCTTCTTCTTCTTCTTCTTCTTCTTCTTCTTCTACTACTACTACTACTACTACTACTACTACTACTACTACTACTACTACTACTACTACTACTACTACTACTACTACTACTACTACTACTACTTCATCATCATTATCCTCGTCTTCTTCTTCTTCTTCTTCTGCTGCTGCTTCTTCTTCTTCACCGTTGTACCGTTTCGGGTGTCCAAGGAAACACACGATTCTGGTTCTGGCTCTTCTACCCACCTCGGCCATCTGATGTTGCTTTCACCTGCTGCTTAGATTATTTCTGTTGGTAATATATCCATTCCTGGTGCTTTATACTGAGATGACCGTTTAATAATCTTTTCTATTTCATCAGTTAGTACACATGCTTCTAGCACCTTTGATTACTTTACAATTTCCGACTGTTCTTTCCTGGTGCTCTCCTAGGTTGGTTAAAGAGCGCATTAAAGTATTCTCTCTATATTTCTTCTGCCTCTGCGAATATTAACGAAAAGCAACGATAATAGAGAGTTATGATGTAGCGACAATTAACACAGTAACAAGATACAAACCTTGAGTATGGCTGGTATTTCGGCATGTGAGATCAGTTTGACACCTGCGCGTACAAAAATAACAAAAAAGCAAATGATTCAGCATTGTAGAATAGGTAACTAATACTAATCATACGAAAAAGCACTATTGGCCATTCTGTCTAGGGTTGCCAGCTACTCTGCTTGTCCATGGATAACAACATTTTTTATTTTGTTTTTCATTTTCCAAATGTTGCTCCTAGAAAGTAAGTTTTGAATGTTTATTATGTACTCGTAAATTGTATAGCTTATTACTAGTGAAAAATGTCCTTATAACACAACAGTGTCCTTACGTTTTGTATTCCTATTTTTACAAAATCTGGCGAGTCTGGTACTGTTATTGTATCATTTACATAAGTGAAGAGTACAGTGATTGCAAACGGGAACTTTTCACGCCATTTATGCATCAGATATGGGACGACCAATATTTTTCTACATCAATAGGCAGTGTATGTGTGATGTGGTAAGCGCTATGCCGGCCACCTTTACTTCCTTTGACATGTCCTGGTAGACATCTAGACTAGGAAGATCTGGCAGGCAGCCCAGTTCCGTTTCTAAAATATCACGTCAGGAGTTCGAATTTCAACGTGACAGCATAAGAAAGCATTCTTTGTTTTTTTAAATATACATATATATACTGAGTAGAGTTCCACACGATTCTTTTACCAACATAATGGGATCACAACTTGGATCGGGCTGCTTTACTATACAGGAGGAGACCTGTAATCTATGCCAGAGGAAACCATAAGCTGGCTTAGATTATACTTTTAGGGATCATTTCTAAAGGATGACTTGCCGAGACGTCGAATAAACTGGCTATTTAAAACGCTGTGAATTACCCATGACGATGGAAAACTTGCTGCTCATAAACAGCCCCAGAGATCTGTATGGCAAGGTCAAGCAATTTATTACTAGAACTAAAATCATTATGTAGAAGGGTAAAGAAAGGCCATGCCATATTTGAAGCTTTTCCTAAAGATAAAATCGACAAGAATAATCAAGTATTACACTAAGGAAATAATAAATCAACCATGTCTTCTTCTTCTTCTTCTTCACGTTCACCAGCTGTACACTCTGGCGGAAAGATCTGGTTGTTCGTCCACTACTGAACTGCAGTCCTGCTCCAGAACCTGAGTGTTGCGTGTGCATCAGTTTTACAGATCTCATTCTCTTGAATACAGACTGTTGGTTCCTTGCCTCTCCGGCAGATGCACTCCGACTTCAAAGGAAGCTCCCCAATTAGTCGACTCTTACGACATGCTTTTGGGTAGGCAGTGGGTCTATTCTTGTTTTCCCCTACAATGGGGCCCCAGAACCCACACGGGGGGTCAACCATGTCAATGACACAAGTTAGTAAGATTGTCTGATTATTCATAATATAATGTCTAACATAACTCAATCCAAATTAAAGTAATATCTGAAAAAATACAAAATTCCATATCTGTCTTAAATAAATATATGTTCGATATGTAAATATAAAATAAAAGAACTCGACTAACACGGTATTTGTCATTTATAACCCTGGGGATTTACATATTATTTCTGAAAAACTACTACTACTACAATCAAAATCATCGTCTTCTTCTTCTTCTTCATTCCTTCTAAAACCAGCATGATGATAATAACTTGGATTTGGACCTTACTTAGATAGTCACATCAAACACGGTGAAAGCTTCGAAAGTAAGAAATGAAATGCTTAAAAAATACTAGAATTAACACAAGGAGAAACAAAATAGAACTTTTTGATCAGTGGGAGTAAACAGGAACAACATCAATGTCAAATTATAAAACATGAAATAAAATGACTTGGTCGTGTAACCACATTACCAATAGACAGTAGCTCACAAAAAGCACTTTGACGAGACGATAAAAGTAAGAGGTAGACAGGGCGAGTGACTGATTACGTTAATACCTGAGGTCGTCAGTATCAACTCGAGCAAAGCAGTCACTTGTGTATTCTTCAGTTTTCTAGTCTGAAGTAAGCGAGTGTTGACAAGAATATGAAGAAGATGATGATGATGCCGGCGATGATGATTATGATGATAAAGGAGGACAGGGGAGACAAAAAAAGAAGAAATAAAAGAAGAAGATAACTGATAACGATGACTGTGATGATAATGATAGTACTGATAATTGTGGGTCTGCGACAAGCCATGAGAGCGAGAGAAGCAGGAAGCAGAAAAAAGGAGAAGAGAAGAGAAAGTGACTGGTAATAGTAATGACAATGGTGATGATTTTGACTAACGTTATGAAAAGGAGGAAGAGAAGATGAACAAAAAACGGATAACGAGGGTGATAGTGATGACGATGAACGCAAACACTGCTTGAATTCAGATGTTGGCATTACCTCTGTTAATAAGTTTCTTCTGAGCATTGACTACATGCTGCGGGTTAATACCCAAAGAGGCGTCTGTCACTACATACGTGTTGTATCCTGCAACAGAATTCAAGTTTAAGAATTGTAGAAACTGTTCAACTTACAAATTTAGGCTTATTTTTTTTTTGTCTTCCTAGTATTGAAACAGACAAGAACTGCTTAGCTGATCTCACCGTGGTCCTTTTTGTTTCTTGCGTTGTGGAGATAAAACACAGGGTCACCGAGAACGATTGTCGGGATTTTAAACTGCTATTATAAAAGAAGTATTGAATGTTTTACAATATTCAGAAAACGTTAACAATTGCATGGCACCTTGTGTGATAATCAGGCTTAAAACGGTTTCGAGAAGACGATGAATACTCTCTCTCTCTCTCTCTCTCTCTCTCTCTCTCTCTCTCTCTCTCTCTCTCTCTCTCTCTCTCTCTCTCTCTCTCTCTCTCTCTCTCTCTTGCTGTACCCACCAGGACATCGCACAAGCGATAAACACCCGGTAACACAAAGTGCCACCATACGGATGAGGATCACCTGTGAGGAGGTTATATTCCGGGCCCCTGGCAAAAGCCAGGGTAAAGCTTCAAATAACGAAAAATTGCATCCCAAATGGGGAACATTCGGCAACCCAAAGAAAGGGCCACTGCAGCAACTTCAAAGGAAATTCTGGACACGACTCAGATGACGTGGCAGGAGACTGAATACTGTCCAGATGTCATCAGAGCTACAAATGACGCTCATATCTGTCCAGACGTCACCAGAGCTACAAATGACGCTCATATCTGTCCAGACGTCACCAGAGATACAAATGACGCTCATATCTGTCCAGACGTCATCAGAGCTACACATGACGCACATATCTGTCCAGACGTCACCAGAGCTACAAATGACGCTCATATCTGTCCAGACGTCACCAGAGCTACAAATGACGCTCATATCTGTCCAGACGTCATCAGAGCTACAAATAACGCTCATATCTGTCCAGACGTCACCAGAGCTACAAATGACGCTCATATCTGTCGAGACGTCATCAGAGCTACAAATGACGCTCATATCTGTCCAGACGTCACCAGAGCTACAAATGACGCTCATATCTGTCCAGACGTCACCAGAGCTACAAATGACGCTCATATCTGTCCAGACGTCATCAGAGCTACATATGACGCTCAAATCTGTCTAGACGTCATCAGAGCTACACAAGACGCTCATATCTGTCCAGACGTCATCAGAGCTACAAATGACGCTCATATTTGTCCAGACGTCATCAGAGCTATACATGACGCTCATATCTGTCCAGACATCATCAGAGCTACAAATAACGCTCATATCTGTCCAGACATCATCAGAGCTACAAATGACGCTCATATCTGTCCAGACATCATCAGAGCTACACTTGACGCTCATATCTGTCCAGACATCATCAGAGCTACAAATGACGCTCATATCTGTCCAGGCGTCATCAGAGCTACAAATGAAGCTCATATCTGTCCAGACGTAACAGAGCTACAAATGACGCTCATATCTGTCCAGACGTCATCAGAGCTACTGATGACGCTCATATCTGTCCACACATCATCAGAGCTACAAATGACGCTCATATCTGTCCAGACGTCATTAGAGCTACAAATGACGCTCATATTTGTCCAGACGTCATCGGAGCTACACATGACGCTCATATCTGTCCAGACGTCATCAGAGCTACACATGACGCTCATATCTGTCCAGACGTCATCAGAGCTACACATGACGCTCATATCTGTCCAGACGTCATCAGAGCTACAAATGACGCTCATATCTGTCCAGACGTCATCAGAGCTACAAATGACGCTCATATCTGTCCAGACGTCATCAGAGCTACAAATGACGCTCATACCAAAGTGTACTAAGCAAGACTAAAACTTTAAACATATCTGAACATTTTAAGAGGCAACATATGCATATCCATTAAATCATTCTTTTATAACAACAGTTTACAATCTCGGCAGTCATTCTCCATGTCGCTGTACAAACGGCAGGAGATTGCTTGTTCGTGCGCTGCGTGTGTGGGGGTTCCCAGGGATTCTGTTATTCCCTTTGTTTATAGTTTGCATGGTAGACTTCTCTTTCAATTCCCAACAGGTCTGTAAAACTTTGCCCGCATTTGGTATAGTCTGTTGGCATACTTGTTGGTTAGCTAAACCATTAAACTTTTTTTTTCTAATGACATCCAGCCTTTGTTCTTTTCTGTATGCCGAGTGCTTTTCTCTCGCATCTCATTTTTTATGTAAGTGGTTTTTTTCCCTTTCTCTTAGTTTTTTTCCTTCGATGTTTAAGTCGGCTTTGTTTCTTGTACTAATTAAGATTGTTTCATTTTGTTTTGACACTATGCTACTAGTGCCAGACTTGGGCGCAGTGATCAAGCCGTTCGCCTCGCGCTCTGAAAGTCGCTCTTCACGAGTGCAGCTTTTTGCGGAGATCCATGGGGATCATCACTGGAACTACGGTTTTCGTCCTATGTGCACCGCTCTTGGCAGGCGGCTAGCCGTTTTGCGGAGGAAGACCAAGCCAAAATCGATAAAACCCGGTGCATTAAAGTCGATCTTTTCGACTTTTACCTTTAAACATTAACTTTCGTACTAACAGTTGGAAGATGAAATGACTGGCGATAGATAGTCTGACTAATCATTCAAGAACAAGTTGGGAAACAACACCATCAAGTAGACTGTGGTTAAGGTCGTGCAGATGTGGTTTCTAAGAGGCCGGCTGCGAACACCTTGGACAGCCAGAGTAACTGACAACAACAGTGCTGGAATTAGAAAACTATTTACAACTATAAGAAATGGGTATTCAGAGTTCTTCGATCATGTGATGAAAAGGGGTGCATTGGATAACATCACGATGACTGGAAAGATCAACGGTACAAGAGACAGAGGCAGACCAAGAGAGGAGATACTTGGCGGCCTGAAGTGAAGCAGTAGTGGAATATCATCAGTGAAAAAAAAAGTAAAGGACCCTCTTCCACGTATAGGGTATATAGGGCTAGACCTATATTTTATAGACCAATCAGCACAAAATGGGTGATGTGGTCAGCATCCCGCCGGCCGCCTTTTACTTTCCGGGATTGCAACCTGGTACCCACTCACGGCTGGGTCGACCTAGGAGTCAAGGTCATTTTTGAAAAAAGTCCGGCTCCGCCAGGGAGCGAACCCACGACCTTCCTATCCGCACGCGAGCGTCTAGCCGCTACGCCACGGTGACTACCATCATCAGTAGAATTGGTTCATAATACCAAGGACCGAGAACTTTGAAGAGACGTAATCGCTTACGCCGCCTTGAACGGCACATGATGGTGGTGATTTACAAACATATAGCTGACGAACAAACCTAGACTAGATTATTTTACCCAAGTCTCTAGCGTCCATTGATGTGTGGAACACACAGATGTCCAGAGCAAAGCCCGCAACAAAGACGGTGTTGATTTTCCGTCTCTTTAGCTCAGAGTCCAGGTTTGTGTCGAAGAACTTTCCGTTGTCGAAAAATGCGGAATATGAGTCGATCTGGAAACGAACGGACCAAACTGAATCGCTGTGTTTTGTTTCTTTGAGTCTTTGTTTTGAAAAAAAAAACATGTGTCCAATTGCGAAAACAGTCTTATCCACACACACAGACACAGACACACACACAACACACACACACACAAACAAATACGCACGCACACACCATATATATGGATAGACCGACAGAAAGATATCTAGAAAGACAGACACAGGGACGGATGGCCTGCCGGGAGAATGGGCGCCTCAAGCTATCTACCGATCGATCAATCAACTGATCGATAGACAGACATACAGGTAGGTAGATAGGTAGGTAGGTATGTAGGTAGGTATGTAGGTAGGTATGTAGGTATGTAGGTAGGTAAACAGACAGAGCGAGAATATAAGAAGTTAAAACTTAATAACGAACTTTTAAAAAAATATGCATTTAATCAAGTACATCAATGCACATATATACAGGCATTAATGTCTCTAACAGTATTTAGGTTTACTGACTTATTACTTGATTATTGAATACGTTCATCGTGTACAGTTACAACGGACAAATGAAATCCTTCCGTTTGGCTGACGATGATCTTAACCATGGCTTGTATTTGGAGCAAGACTTATGTTGTACTACTTCAGCAAAAAGGACGGGGAACACGGTATATCTTCTTTTGTATTTCCAAACATGTAGGCGAAATATTTAGTAAATTAGCAATTTCTCGCGCCCTCGTAGATGTGGCTCTACAAAAGAACACTTAAATCCATTAAGCAATTATATTGACTAACACGGTTTTTGAAAGATCCCAAAGTCCGAAGAAAATGTATCACAGACATTGGAATGGGACTGCCGTCCGATTTGTTGCCATCTTACAAGAAAGATTTGGTTTGGTTTATGCAACAGATCGACATCATGGCACAAGGGTCCATAAGTGCTTCGTTCTACTTTTGACTCAAGCCTAAGTCCGAAGAATCTCTGCGCAGTGCACGAACTCTGTTGCACCGGCGAGGATCCTGAAATAGTTTGGGTAGATTTATGACTCTAAATTTTGCCTAGGCAGCGACGTTAGGCTCATCTTTTCGATTTCCAACTGCTAATTGATTTGTTTACGTGCGCAACAATACACACGGGCGTCCGATCTTACTACACAGAGACCAGGGGAAATTATTATAAGTCATGTGAAAAAAAAATCCCAGCCTTTACCGGGCCTGAACCAGGGACCTCCAGCACTCGATGTGGACGTCCTCGAGTCCACTCAGCCCCGCTTTAGGAGAAAAAGGAAAACTATAACATATTATGACTACTCGGAAGATTTCTGGAAAGAGAAAAATAAAACAACGCGAGAAGATTCTTGACAGCCTTGTGTGATGGCATGGAGGGGTGTCAGCACATGAACTGATAAAGCTCTCGGAGATCGCTGGTTGTGGAAAGAAAAAAATCACCAAAGGCAGTCGGCATGGCGCTTGATGATGTCAATATAATTCAGATTTGGTCTTACTCCAACTTTTTTCTTTCTAATGCTGGTATTCGTAACCTTGTATGTTTGTGTTGTTAGTGACCTTGCGGAAACAGAGCATGTATTCATGTTATGTGCTAGTGCCCTATGCACTATATTGTCCTGAAAATGTGTTAGTTAGTTAGTTAGTTAGTTAGTTAGTTAGTTAGTTAGTTAGTTAGTTAGTTAGTTAGTTAGTTAGTTAGTTAGTTAGTTAGTTAGTTAGTTAGTTAGTTAGTTAGTTAGTTAGTTGGCTGGTTGGTTGGTTGGTTGGTTGGTTGTTTGGTTGGTTGGTTCTTAGTTAGTTAGTTTGTTTGTTAGTTAGTTAGTTCGTCGGTCGACATATTTTCCTCAGTCGGAGCCCCACCTCAGTAAATCTCGCAGCGTGTAGCGACTGATGACACCAGTTCTGTGTTGGTTTATTATTCTTGTTTGACTACCCGCGTAGTTTGGCGACATCCCATTTAACTTGCTATTATTGTAGTCTGACTATGGTTGCAGATTCATAGTTCTCAATTGGTTCACGCAAACGTCTTAACTCTCTTATAGCTTTCAGTATATCAGCCTGGTCCAAGACTTGCCCGGCTTTCACAGAAGTCTTACCTTCACATCTATCAGCTTGCTCATTTCTTTGTACATCTACATTTCCTGGCACAAAAATGAAACTAATCCTTGTTAGCTGTGAACGCTGTAGAGCCACCAACCAGTTGTGACATGAGATGAGTGGGGAGAGACGGCCTGGCTGATCATTCAAAACAAATGGAAAACAATACCATCAAGCAGACTGTTGTTAAGGGTTAAAGTCGAGAAGGTCGGCTTTAATGCACCGGGTTTTATCCCATATGGTTCGGTCTCTCTCTCCGCAGAACGGCTATTAATCTTTCTCTAGGAATTCTAACCCGGTAAAAAAAATGCCAGCAGAATTCATGTCTTCCGGTCGGAAAGCGCAAATATCGCATTCAGGCTGTAAATGAGCACAACACATTTAAATCTTTGAATGAACTCTTCAAACGAAGAAGATTTACCTGTTTCATAACTCCCTTGTGGATGAGAAGGTCATCCTTGTATCGAACCAATTTACCGGAGATCATGGACGATGTCGGACCTTGTGTGACGTTCTGCACACAATGAACAGGGTAGACTGTTTGGTTCAGTGTTTTTGTTGAGGAGCCAGTACAGTTAAGGGCGCCAGGGAACGCCCTTGGTGTCACGGTTTCTCCGAGACAAAGTGTTCCTGTAAGTGTTCAGTGTCGGGTTTAACAAAGTCTAGAGGGTCAACTTCATCACACCAGGTTGTTTGCCATGTTGCTCGGGCACTCTCTGTGTGTATAGTGTGTGTGTATGTATGTGTGTGTGTGTGTGCATGTGTATGTGTGTGTATGAGTGTGTAATTGTCTATTTATGAATGATTGTGTATATCACATCGGTGACCGGGTCACCCATTAGCTCGCCGGTGGACGACTTCGTTGTCAGTCGGGACAGTATTCGGTTCTGTCTCCTTTGCTCGAGTCAACTTGCAGGAATCCTTTTCATAACTCTTGGTGGCGTGCAATAGCCATTTTATATAGCACACATAACATGGCCATAATTATAGCCAAAAGCTCCCCTTCGGGGATGCTGGTTGAACGTGAGGATTTTCTTTCCCAGCAAAGCACCTACCTACCAGTGAAGATATAAAACCGAACGAAAAGTATATTAGCAAGCCTCACAATATAACACATACAAACAAAAAGTGAACGTTGCAGCTACTGAGCCTTCATCAGCACATACAAATGAAACAATACTATACAGATACACAAAATCACTTAGCTTGTATCTCGAAGCAGCCGGTTCGGTTGTTTCTCAGCAGAATGACTACACGTGTCGGCTGGGGGAATAAATTCTCCTCGTGGAGTACCAGGGACCATAACTGGGGGGTGGGAGATAAAACTATGAGGGCAGTTCAAACCACCCGGAGTTTGAATGAAACTGTGTTGGCAATTTAGTCCGGATGGTGTTAAAGTCCCCAGAGTAACTACCTACCAGTGGAAATATGTGTGTGTGCGCGCCTGCGATGTATATGAGTTTTTGGGTGTGATAAGTGAGCACATGGGATATACATGAGTGTGTATGTGTATGTATATGTGTGCATGTGTGTATGTAATACTGCGCAGATACACAAAATCATTTAGCTGGTATCTCCAAACAGCCGGGTCGGTTGTTGCTCAGCCGAATAACTACACGTGTCGGTTGGGGAAATAAATTCTCCCTATGTGTGTATGTGTATGTTTATGTATGCATGTGTGTATGTATGAGTACATAAATTTATAATTATCTGCGTGTGTGCGAGTGTGTGTATGTAGAAGTGTGAATGTGTATGTGTATCTGGGAGCAATATGTATATGTGTTTATGTATATATTAGGGCTGTACCGAATATTCGCTTCGTATTAGCTTCGGGGCCGAATAGTTTACCTAATAACTATTCGGTATTCGGCTGAATAGTTGCAGTCGGGCCGAATGCGAATAGTGGTTACCTTACACCCGTTTCTGGACTGGTGGAAAATGAACATATCAAGATTTCCCACCTTGGTTCATACTGTCAAGCGTTACTTTGTGCACCACCTTCGAGCGTACCAAGTAAACGTCTGTTTTAACACAGCTGGAAATACTTTCAGTGAGACAAGAAGCTGTCTTAATGCTGACAACGTGGGACGATTGTGTGTGTGTGTTTTTTTTTTTTTTTTTTTGAAAGCTAATGCCTTTCTTGCTATATATATCCAGTTTTAACATATGGCTGTGAGTCCTGGACAGTCGATAGGCAGGCCAAACAATTTCTTGAGGCCTCATAGATGTGGCTTTACAGAACAATGCTTAAAATACCTTGAACAGCCAGAAAAAAGCAAACAAAAGGTTTTAAAAGAGACGGAAGCCCGAAGACAACTACTCACAGACATCAGAAGGAGATGGTCATCATTTTTCATTGTTATAAGATGAGGAAAATGGAACATGTGGTGACCACTGGAAAGATCTATGGAAGGAGGGATAGAGGAAGACAACGAGAGAAGATTCTTGACAGTCTTGTTGCATGTCATGGAGGTGTGTCAGCACACGAACTAATACATGCTGTAGAAGATCGCAGATTGTGGCAAGGCATAGTCGCCCATGCCAGTCGGCATAGCACCTGATGATGATGATTCACTATTCGTATTCGGCCGAATAGTTGGTCCAGCTATTCGTATTCTGCCGAATAGTGAAAATCACTATTCGGTACAGCCCTAGTGTATATGCGCCAGAGTATATAAATTAGTATTTATGTAGACCTGCGTGTAAATGCATGTGTGCATGAATTGTAAATGTGTAAATGTACGCGTTTTTATAAGTATGTGCATATATGAGTATGTGTGCATGTAAGTAGATAGAGATAAATGTATTTGTCAGCCTTGCTCTTGTATGTGTTACCTTACCCTGATATTTTGTATTGTGCTACTAGAAATTAACGTGCTCTGTAGTAACAAATTAAAATGATGTAATAACTGACCTACACTCGACCGGGTCTACAAAGAGTCCCATTTAGTGCCTGGGAAGTAAAGGCAGCCGGGATTATTCGACCAAACCACACATCGACTGCCGATGGTCTATAAATATGAGTCTACTAGCATCATATATCCGATCATTCTCTTGTTTTACAAATGAATGGGGAAAATGGAGTGGGGGGGGGGGGGTGCCTTCAAGGTGCCTAAACCTCGAGGTTCTGTTGCTTGTGGTAGCACAGTAATAGCAGTAACCACTATGGTACTGTGATAGAAGTAAACAAGTTGCGGGGGGGGGGGGGGGGGGGGGGGCCTTCAAGGTGCCTAAACCTCGATGTTCTGTTGCTTGTGGTAGCACAGTAATAGCAGTAACCACTATGGTACCGTGATAGAAGTAAACAAGTTTCAGGGGGGAGGGGGGGGGGGTTTCCTTCAAGGTGCCTAAACCTCGAGGTTCTGTTGCTTGTGGTAGCACAGTAATAGCAGTAACCACTATGGTACCGTGATAGAAGTAAACAAGTTGCGGGGGCGGGGTGGGGGAGACAGTTAAAACACCCAAGAAATTTCAGTTTCCCCACAGTTAGGGGAAGGGAGCCGCCATGAACTAGCGGCTAGACGTTCGCTTGCGGATCGGATGGTTGTGGGTTCGGTACTGACGGGGCCCGGACTTTTTACAAAAATGACCTTGGCTTCCAGATCGACCCAGCCTTGAGTGGGTACCAGGTACAGTCCTGAGAAGTAAAAGCGGCCGCCGTGATGCTGACCACAACATCCACCAAATGCCGTTTTGTCTATAAAATAAATGTCTAGCCCTATATACCCAATACGCCTGAAAGGCCAGGAAAAGGGTCCTTTACTTTTTTGTGTTTGTTTTGTTACAGTAAATGGAAGTTACCGTTGTGCAGATATCCCAGTGTGATAACATCAAAGGGAGCCTTGTTGTGAGCCGAGGCAAACGACACGTGACCCGGAGGGTGCCAATCTAGCGAGAAGACAACAGCGTCAAATGTGTTGTTTTTCCGAATGCTGAAAAAAAAAGTTAGATTGCATTTAACAGTTAAATTAATTAATTTGAAATAAAAAGCGGAGGACAGAAGAAGAAGAACAAGAAGAAGAAAAAGAAGAAGAAGAGTGTATGGGAGAGAGAGAGAGAGAGAGAGAGAGAGAGAGAGAGAGAGAGAGAGAGAGAGAGAGAGAGAGGATGAAGAACAACGGCATCAAAGGTTTTGTTTTCCCGAATGCTGAAAGAGAGATGATATTTAATAATTAAGTTATTTGTTTTAGTGAGAGAGGAAGAGAAGAAGAAGAAGAAGAAGAAGAAGAAGAAGAAGAAGAAGAAGAAGAGAGAGAGAGAGAGAGAGAGAGAGAGAGAGAGAGAGAGAGAGAGAAGAAGAAGAAGAACTGACATATTTTCAAAAGGTAGTTTCCCGCACCAGCTCCCGTCTGCGAAAATCATCAGGCTAACCGCCACAAATGTCCGCCCAGTTATGTAACGGCTTAATACAAACGACTACGCCGCGCGTATCCAATTTTCTAAGCAGTAGCTAACTATAAGAAAAAAAAATATTATTTGATAACATAAGATTTAATAAATGAAACTCTATCTATTTGTTTTTGCTTATTTCTTAGCTGTCAGCAAGTACGCTGACTGACCGACTGCAAAGCCCCCCCCCCCCCACCCCTCTATATATATATATATATATATATATATATAAACCGGTTCACCTTATATTTTATCACAATGGTTATTACACCATCGCGGTGCTTTGTTACAAAGCTGTTGTGGTGTTTCTAGTGGGTGCAAATAATTTCATGGAGCAGCAATGACTTTTATCCTATCAACGCATTTATTGTTGAAGTCTTCAAAAAAAAAAAAAAAAGATCAATTTTGTAATCTTACTATTGTAAGGCAGAAATAAACCTCTTTCTACAGCAGCAGAAGAACAAGATACTGCCAAAATTTTACAAATTTACACAAATTTCTTAAACGTACCAAAACACCGAAAAGTACATACTGGTTTCTTCCGCAAGGGTCAGTTTTTACCAAATTTTACGAAAGTACTAACTTTGACAACAATTGACTGACTGACTTTCTACCCCCCCCCCCCCCGGACATCACACAAGCGACAAACACCCGATGACACAAAGTGCCACCATGTGGATGAGGATCGCCGTGGATAGGTCCCAGAAACCGCGTTCAGACAATTAGCTATATTTATGGCCTGCCTATGTTGCGACCCCTGGCAAAAGCCAAGGTGGGGCTTCAAAGAACAAAAAATTTCATCCTGAAAAGGACAATAGATAGATAATAATTTTTGACAACATTTGACTGACTGACTTTCTACCCCACCAGGACATCACACAAGCGATAAACACCCGATGACACAAAGTGCCACCATGTGGGTGAGGATCACCCGTGGAGAGGCCCCAGAAACCGCTTTCAGACAATTGGCCATATTTATGGCCTGTCTATGTTGCGGCCCCTGGCAAAAGCCATGGTGGGGCTTCTAAAAACAAAAAATTTTGTCTTTAAAAGAATGCAAGGATTGTTGACAATAATAGTCCCCATGTATAAAACATGGAAGAACGCTGCTTTACAGAACGTAGCAAAACAAAACTCGCATTTGTTCTTTCTGCTGAATCCTGTGATCTCCTCCTCCTCTTGCTTCTTCTTCTTTTCTTCTTTTTCTTCTTCCTCTTCTTCTTCTTCTTATTATTCGTCTTCTTCTTTGTGATTGCTGTCATATTATCATGTTATTTTGAGTTGTGGCCCTTGTTACTGATTTCTCTGCTATGTGATTTTTCTCGAAGATACTTCAGTTAAATGTTTTGTGTCTATTCTCGTTCGTATTTGTAGTAGTCTATATTCATGTATTGTGTTTATGAAGGCTGTCTAGCTACAACGTTCACTTGATCTGTTACGAATGCAGCAGGTTTCCAGGAGTTCCCCAACGTTTTCCCTGGATGCCTCTTTCATCTGGTCATGTGTTTTCTTGTAGATTTTGCTGTAGGGGCATTTGTGCAGTATACGCTGAGGTTTTGGAAAGCTTGTCGCTTAGCAGAGACACCGGGCGTATTGTTCAGCCTTCATTCTGTGCATGTGCGTTAAGTCTGCAGTGTTCTGTTCTTAGTCGAAAAATTGCGACTTTCTGTTTAGTTTATTGACTGTGTCGTCTGGATGCTTGCTGTTTGTTCTCTGCCTCCAGGATTTTCTGTACATCTTCCTGATCAGTGAGTTCACGTCTTCTGATAGGGGAAGTAAGTCCTGTGTTTCCCGTGTTCCCCATGTTCCCTCTTTGTCCAGTTTATACGCTATGGCATTTCCTTTACCTCACAACAGAATGAGATCCACGTAGCACAAACTGGTTGATCTTCAGAGCTAGAAATCTCATTGTGTCAAACCCCTTCTATAGTGTGTCGGTCATCTTCTGTCAACAAATCAACGGAGTGTGATAGTGGGGAGAAAGAAGAAGGAAAAACAGAAGGGAGGGGATAAAAAGGAGAACATTGTGATTAGACAAAAGTCATAGTAGTTCCCCGCTAAACAACAAAAACAGAAAAGTAAAGAAACGACAGGGATTCTTCTCCGCAGAGATCCCAGATATTTCACCGAGACCCTAACTATGGATATTTGCATGGTAACGTTAGATGAAGTCGACCTAACTACATGGGTACACACACCTAGACAACCACGGGCTACAGATCCTAAATTAAGTCAAGCAAATGAATTATGATCACATTGAACAGTTTATTTTACTCAACATTACATCAGCATGGTCAACAAAAAATGACATTAAGGACGACGAACTGCTGAAACAAAATCTCAAATATATAGCGATCTACCATCTAACTATCTCTTAGCAAGAATACAAATGAAAGTCTATTTTAACCAAAAGAACGTACCACCGCCTGGAATCAGTTAGACCACGGACGTTACCTGTGGTCGCCATACCTGCCGACCAGCCCATTGTGCAAAGCTTCAGTAGCTAGGTTAGGCTCCCACGGGTTGGTCTTGTCTTGTCTTGTCTTGTCCACAATTACCTCACAGCGTAGTGGGGAGTCGCAGTTTTCTATCCTGGGCCAGTTGTGTTGCATGTGTTGTTGTAAGTCCGTGTTGCCTCAGGATCTCTGATATATTGTCTATCCATCGTACTCTCGGTCTGCCTCTTGCTCTAGGGCAGTAGTGTTGTTCGTTGTATGCTCGTAGAGGCAGTTGGTCGGTTTGCATTCGCATCAAGTGGCCAAACCACTCTATTTGTTGCTTCTTTGTGTATTGCAGGCATGGTGTGGTTCCTACAATTGATCTAATGTTCTCGTTTCGAACTCTGTCTCTCCTTGTGACATTGGCAGCCTTACGTAAGCATCTCATTTCGCACGTCGTGATCTTTTTCTCCTGTGCTCTTGTTAGGGACCAGGTTTGGCATTGGTACAGAGGGTTGGTATAAATATGCAATTTATCAGTTGTCGTTTTAGTGCCATAGTGATGCTTGGGTGTTTTAGCAGTGGGGAGAGTTGGTAAGTTACTGCGTTCGCCTTTTGACATCTTGCCTCAAGTTCCCTATCAATTCTTCCATCATCTGTGAAGATGCTCCCCAAGTATTTAAATTGCTGCACTTGTTTGAGTTGTTCGATGTTAACTTGAATAGTTAGTATATTAGGTGTTCCACTTATTTTCAGAATTTCTGTTTTGGTGATGCTGATCTTCATGTTATATTCGTTGCAGACTGTGTGTAGCGCATTTACGTGGATTTGAAGTTCTTTTTCGTTTTCATGAATTATGCTTTGGTCGTCTGCGAAAAGTATTTCGTTCAGTTGGGGATGTACTTCTTCAGGATCGGCGTGTATGTTTTCATTATAATGATCTCTTTCAACTAACTCTGTCTCACTGCTTGGTGTAGTTAACAGTTCGCTTATCATTACATGGTTTGCTGCTGTTGTTATTCTGTCCATGTATATATTGAATAGTAGTGGTGATAGTACACAACCCTGTCTTACTCCTGTTCTTAGTATGAATTCGTCTGTCACACCAACATTTGTTCTAACTACGCCTGAGCTTGTTTGTTACAGAGATCTGATGTTGTCTAGTAGCTGACCTTGTACTCCATAGTCGTTCAATATATTCCATAGTTTGTTCCTGTCTACCCTGTCAAAGGCTTTTTCTTGGACAATGAATGCTATATTGAGTTGTTTGTTATATTCTATTGCCTTTTCACTAAGTTGTCTTAGGGTGAAAAGGGCGTCTGTGCAACTTTTTCCTTTCCTTAATCCAAACTGAGCTTTACTCAGCTGTGTCTCTACAATATGTTTTGTTCTTGTCTCAAGTACTTTTGAATATAGCTTCCCTACGTGGCTCAATAAAGAAATTCCTCTGTATGTGTCACACTCTCTTTTGTTGCACTTGTTTTTCCAAATTGGGACTATGATAGCTTTTTGCCAATCCTCCGGTGTTTTCCTTTCGTTCCATGCTATCGTGAATATTCTATGTAGCCATTTTGCTCCGGTTTTTCCGCACGCTTTAATTGCCTCGTTTGTTATACCGTCTATACCTGCTGATTTATTATTTGGGCTCATCTTGATAACTCTCTCAACTTCTTGAATTAGGATGCAAGGTTCTTCTTGTTCTTCCTTATAGGTAGAGTAGTATTCTTTAGTTTGTGTATTTGTTGGATTGAGTAGTTCGTGGAAGTATTCCTTCCATCTTTCCTTCTTTCTGATAGCGTTAAATAACGGTGTTCCGTTTTTATCATTAATAATGTTGGTAGGGTTAAAACTTTCGTCCCTTATTCTCATAGAATGTACACTTTTGTAAAAGTCTCTAGCTCTTTCCCTTGAAATTTTCACAAGTTGTTCGCCATATTTCTGCCATGAGTCCTCTTTTGCCACTTTGATTATTTGTTTAGGAAGTCAAATAGGTCGCTCCAAGACTAAACAAAATCTTTTATACCCAGCGAGTCAGATTTTTCCCGTGTTATCGTCTAACACTAATAAATGGCAATGTTTCACTTTTGGCCTGTTGGCCATTTTCA